TAGTCTGTTGCTCCCCACACCTGTGCTGGGCTTACCTGAGTGCATGTTCTCTGAAGGTGTGGTCTCTTGGAGTCCTTTATGCTCAGTCTTGCTTTTCATAGTTAGTATGAGCCCCATCAAAAATACTTACATTTACATACTAAATCTGGAGATAAATTTCACAATTCAAGACCCTGAGATTAGCTCAGTTTGTTAGAGCACAGTGCTAATAACACCAAGGTTGTGGGTTTGATCCCCATACGGGCCATTCACTTATGAGTTGGACTCACTGATCCTTGTCAGTCCCTTTCAACTCAGGCTGTTCTGTTATTCTATATGTTAGTTCCAGATGTCATCACAAGATTTCAGTGAGGGCATCACTTGACCAAAAATGAAGGATTGTTTAAGATTCCCCATTTTCTTTGTTTTAATTATCCAACTTGAATTCCTGAACTACTTCTATTAAAATGAATTTCTTGAATTAATGTTTTAAATTCAGTATTTTATATGCCTTTCACATTTCCTCTCTTTATTTTAATTAGTATACAACAGATTGCAGGATATAAAATTGTAACATTTGAAACAATATTTACAATAAGGATTTTGAAAGTAACTTTTCCATGTTGCAAATGTGGCAGTTGAAATTTCTACTACAAAGAGTGTTTTTTTAAAATGTTTTTATTAATGGTTAGTCAATTGATTCACTGTGGCCTGAAGACTTTATTTTACTGTAGAGGAAATCTAAACATTGTCAGCATCAGGCTGCATTAGTGACACACAGAAAAGTTGCCTGGACTATGCGAGTTTGAAACCTAGTTAGGAAGCTTAACTAAGTCAAGTTTAGTTAGGAAAGTAAAGTTGGAAGAGGTGATGTGGTTTGGGTTATTTGACTCGGGCAGAACCAGATTCTTTGTGCAAGGTATTATCTGCCTGAAAGATCTTCAGTGGAGGAGATTCTGCACCCTCAGTAGGTAGTGTCTGCTAGATTTCAATGCACTTATAGAATCATAGAATGGCTCGGGTTAGAAGGCACCTTTAAGATCATCTTGTTCCAACCCCCTTGTCCTGGGCAGGGAACCTTCCTGTACACCAGGTAGCTCAGAGACTCATTCAGCCTGATCTTAAACACCTCCAGGGATGGGGAGTCCACAACATCTCTGGGCAACCTGTTCCGGTGTCTCACCATCTTCACAGTAAAGAATTTCTTCCTAATTTTATTCTAAACCTGCTCTCCTTCAGTTTAAGGCCATTCCTCCTTGTCATGTCTCTCTACCTGACCACTTGAAAGGTCCCTCTCCAGCATTCTTGTAGGACCCTTATCATTAGGAGTTATCCATATGCTGTCGAACTTCTAAGCAGGAAACCTGATTGTAATTAAATTCTACTTTAATAGCACCAGCAGATTTTTTATTTGTCACTGAAGAGAGCTCACAAGAAGAAATTTGACTAGCACCCATTAAAATGTCTGTTGTTTTTCCCACTGTGTGCTGTTTTGTTTTTTGCTCTTAAAAAAAAACTTCACAAATATTGTTTCAAAGAATGAATTGCAGTGGAATATTTGGCTTTAAACAATGGTATTGCTAGAACAGGCACCTCAAAAGCTTGTTGGAGAGAAGATAATTGAGGGAATACTTAGCAGTGTCATTCTGTGATGCAAACTATATAAGGTTGCCGAGGCAGGCTGTACTAAAGAAAAAACATTCAAGTGAAGCAAGAAGAATTTGGTGGAAATCTAAATATTTGCTCAAAAGTATTTTGCCTAAGTAGGAAAAGTGTGATATCTATACTACTGATGACACAACCAAATTGGGGACAATGAGCGTGGTACAGAATAGTAAGGGAAATAAGACATATTCTGGAAGCAGAAGACAAATATTAAGATGAACCAGGGAAAAACAAACAAACAAAACTCAAAACAAAACAAAAAACAAAACTAAACCCCAAAACTAACCAACCAATCAAACAAAAAATCCCACACAAACTTAAAACAACAAAGCAAAAACAACTTACACAATTTTTTTAGATATCATCAATGAAGGAGCCATAAAGAAGATAATCAGAAAGTCTACAAGAGGAGAAGCCCTTGACTGGTATACTTTCAAGCATTGCCCAGGATCTGGTTCATGATGTATAACTGAAGGTTGGACCCACTTTATCGTAGCAACCATCTCTGTAGGAAAGACAGAAAAAAACCAGTCTGATATGGGCATATTTTTTAAAAAAACAGGATCTGCATAAAAAAAAGAGGACATCTTGAAAGATTACCAATAACAGTGAAGAGAAGAAAAACAGTGGAAGGAACCATTAAGACTGTTTAATGAGATCCAAATGGTGATTCAGAACCTATATACACTCTTATAATTAGGATTTCATAAAGACCAAACACATGCAGAAAAACAACTCAGATGACAAAATAAAGACACTGGATGTCAAAAAGCAACCTTCAAAAAGCACAAGTAATTATAAAAGGCAATGAATTCTGTATGCAATTTATGTATATAAACACAATGTTACAAAACAGAAAAGACTTCCAGAAACATTTTGCTAAATCCTATAAAAAGTAACAAAATTTTTAAAACATCTAAAGAAGAATGTTTCCCAGAGTCAGTGAGACCAGTAGAAGATTCGGAGAGAGTAGTGGAGCTCAAAAATTTTGCACAGAAAATAGCCATTGTAATTTGAGGCAAATTTCCTAACTAAGCTAGTGGAAATGGGACTTGTAATTTTCCAGGAGTTCAGCTTTCTTAACATAGCATCAACTTAAATAAATACAATTGCTGCTTTGGAAATTCAGAATCTCTGCCCTTACAGATTACAATTACCTAATCTTTTTACAAATAACCATTACCTTTCAAGGTGATAATTTCAAAATGCAACATTACAAGAAGATATAAGAGTGTTGGAGATACTAAATGTCTATGATTTCTCAGAAACTTGACAGAATTAATGCAGTGGGAATGATAGGACTGAATTTAAATTTGTTTTTACCATTTTCAACCATTTAAATGTAAGCAAGAATGTATATGTGTGCACATAGACCCACACATTTCTCCTTATAGTTCCTTCTACTTCATTTCCAAGAAGACTTAATGTAAACCTCAGCTGGATAAAACTAATCAAAGTATCTGTTTCCTCAAAACTTTATTTGCACAAGCTACTTCTAATTTTTTTTTTTCTAAGCATCCAGTAAGTACTACCAGAAGTCTAAAAAAATATTCTATCTGTTGTAATAGGATTCAAGGGTCAATAAAATAAAAAGGAGTAATAGCACTCTTTGAAAAAGACAGCTAATTACAGTTCTATGAAGAAGAACAAGACTGTAAAATAAGTACCTGCTTCATTAGCACTCTCATTTCACATCTGTCATGCAGAGTCCTTATGCAGCTAAGCAAGAGTACTTTAACCTAAATTGGTTGACATTTATTGGCAAAGACCCTGCTTTAATGCCAGCTCCCTCCCCAGAGCTATTTCTAATCCTTGCTTATATGTTTTCTCTGCCTTCGTTCTATTTCCTTCTACAGGTTTACAATGTGGGATAAAAGCTCTTTAGTCTGGTATTGTTTAGCATTGTAATCTGACCTTAACTTTGATGAGCTAGGGCAAACAGACATAATCCTCGGAATACAGGCAGGAGGCAGAAATCTATTTTAAAAATCAGCAGGACTAGGTTTTTGCTCTCAGGAAGGACTCTGGCTGCTCACATGTCACTATCAAAAGTAAAATGAGACACATGGAGAGATTATCATCCCTGCTCTTTTTTCCAAATGCTGCTGTGACACCAAAACCTAATGACTGCAGACCCTAGAACCTGTGAGAGCCATCCCAGATCAACCATTCCTCTCCCAGACTGTTTCTGCAGGTTGGGAGCTCATGTGCAAGAACATCTCTTAAGGGTAGGTTGGTTGCGCTCAGAGATGGACTGTGTGGAGAATGCAGAGGTCAAAATGTAAGAACATGCCAAGTATGGAGCTAGGGTGAGGAGATTCATAGCTCATCCAATCTGTATGCCAAGTGGCACAAAAATTTGCAATACTAATGCACACAAATATTACATATATGCTCAAATTAGGAAATCATGTTTAAAGATACCCCCCCACAAATAATTCGCTTTTGTTTTTCATTTAGTTTCCAATTTCAAAGTTATAGGTTTTACATCCTGCAGAATTTTTCTGTAGTCACAGAAGATAGAAACTTGTTTATGCAACTCATAAATGCAAGCTGAGACTCTTACATAATTACAGGTCTCCAAACAATATGCATACAGGAGCTGGCAAGTCCACGCTGGTTAATCAGTTTTAAGATGGAGCAGCCTTTGAAACAAGCAGAGAATCTCATTACCCAGCTGCATAAATCCATGGTTCAGTCACATCTTGGACTGTTGTGTGCAGTTTTCATCCTGTGATCTCAGAAATAGAGAGTATAACTGAGAAAGACTGAGAGTAGTGTGACAGACATACTCAAAAAATATATTATTCAAAATAGTATATTCAAAATATTAAAAAATTGGAACTATTCTTGAAAATATAGGACAGTTACTGAGTAAACATTAGCTTAGCAAAGAGACAAGTTGGACTGAGAAGTAGGGAGAAGTATCATATTAAAAGAAATGCACAGAGTTACATTGGGAATGACTGCTCACAGTCTCTGCCAAAGCAGAACTACAGGATATCAGAAGTGAGCAGATGGCAGACTCAGAGCAAACGAAAGAAATTGATTTTTCACATTGTGCAGGTAAACTACAGGTTTTTTCAGCTGCAAAACATCTATGTGAGTTCAAAAGATGCATAAAAAAAATCAAAAGGAAAAAAAAAACTCAGGGTCATTAATTACAAAGACACCATCTCAGACTCAAGGAGCCCTTGGAGCTGGAAAAATATTCTAAGGAAACATCATTATGTTTTTGACCTTTTCTTTTTCTCTTCTCTAAGCATCTGCTTTTGTGTGCGTAGTGACAGGATACTAGGAAAAATGGATACATCCATCCCATGCTCTGAATCCAAAATCTTTGGTTTGTGTTTCAGAACCGCCAAGAATCATGAAAATTAGAAGTAATCAAATGCCCCTCAAGATTTTTTCCCCTGCAGGAACAGAGGAAACAACTGCAGAAGGTATGATGTGGATTCTGATTAAGTTTTCCCCAATTATTTCTATGAAAATAAAAAAAATTACCTCCTGGGATCAGAGCCTTTTTTCCCCCAGGAAGCTCCGAGCATTGCTAAGGGACCTTTAAGTGATAGGGTATGCTCAAGTGTAAAGGATATGTGAGATGTAAAGCTGCTTTGAAGTATTAGGTCACTAATCCTTTGCACCTATGATAGTGCGTTTCTTCTGAGAGTGTCAGAGACTTCCTTGTTTACAAAGGCACTGCTAATTCCAGCACAAACCTTGTGTGAGTTTGCTTTAAGCTATGCCATGAGTCCTGCATGGGTCCCAAACTAACTCACACAAGCATAAGCATAGCTCACCTCTTCCTGCCTCTGGGTGGGAATCACACCTCTGCCTTGGAGCAAATGATTTTGTGAACTGAAAAGTTTCTCCCACGATGCTAGGAGGCAAGCTACCCTTTCACAGTCTGGTCCAGGCATCCAGTTTTTGCTTCTGGTTTTGCAAGGCAAAGGAGACCAGAGCATTTGCATGAGGGAGAAAGAAGGCTGTGAAGGGTGGATCTAATGCTAGCATGGATAAAAGGAATAACAAGGTCTGACTCTGGAGAAGTGGGCTGTGGGGTCAGCTGTAGAGGTGAAGCATGTGTTTGGAGAAATTAGCAGTTATGAATGAAGAGTGACACTAAGACACACTTCACACTGAGAGGTGTAAAGTTAAGAAGCAGCATAAAATTTCTCATTTCTCCATTTAATCAAAAGACTGCTTCATAACATTAAGAAAGCAATCAACCTACAAATGATGTCTCTGAAGGAATAACTAAACATTGTTCACAATAAAAAGTTCATCTTCTGTGAAAGATTGAAATAGTAATCAATTGGCACACCAATATCTCTGCTGATATTTGTAAAGGGGAGTTACAGAATTAAGGCAATATACAGTATATCTGACATGAAAGTTGGCTGTCGTCTCAAAATATGTAACCTCTGGCTGGGATGAGTAGGTAGATAACCTAGTGCTTAGCAGGCATCTCTATTCCAATGCTTCCTCCATTACTTTGCAACGCACCATTTTGCTTTCAGTCCTCAGATACATATTGCTTCATCCAAAATTAAGTTCCCTGATTGTCTCAGTGGGTATCTTAGGCAATATTTGAAGTAATTATGTCACTTCAAAAGCAGCATAGGAAAACAATATTGTTCCATTTTATTTCTCTTCACAGCTGTCCAAACAACATTAAAATAAATCAGAAGTGCATTGCATTCAGAGCAACAACATGAACATAAAATCTTTCCAGCACAGCAGAAGCCATCGAACAATTAGCAGGAGTCCTTATGACTAAACAAATATATTTTGCACTTCTGGATCAATCCAATGAGAATGAACACCACTGAGAGAAAAAAAATACTAATCTTTAATGGTGTTAACAAGTCATATAGTACAGATAATCCCATAATTACTTCAGTAGCTATTTTACAGAAGATACGTGCGTTTCTAAAATTTAGCACTTCCATGTAATCCTGCTTGGCCTGAATGGAAAATCATTCATACCTTCTTTGGTTTTTTTTTACTTTATCATCTTTGTTGCTTTGGTGTCCTCTGTCACGCTCCAGGAAGATGCTTGCTTAACATAAAATCTGGAAATCATAGTTAGGTCAAATTAAATACAAAGATAAAGTGTGTAGGTATGCAAGTATTTAAGAAGTGAATATTGGCTGTTATAATAAATGGTGCCACAAGCTGAGCTACAGAACACATTTCTTGGGGAAATGTTTTTTTCCCCTTCATATATTATACCTTCATATTCCCATGATACCACTTCTGAGACTGGGGAAACCACAGTTAGCACAGTCTGCAAAACTGAGATGTAGGTAAATACAGAAATATTTAAAAGGTAAATAATGATATTACTGATCAGTGATGTCACACTGGACTCATGACAAATGAGAGAGGTACCACCATCAAAGGTGTGACTGGAGCCTCAGCCCAGCATATTGCTAAAGCTAAATTTAACAAAATGAATGAGTTTCAGAATCAAGTGTCAGTGGATCATGGTTTACCTATGAGAAAGTTAATCAAATGAAATTAAACTCAATGAAATTAGAAGGTATTTAATTTGCATCTCATTCAGAACATCTAAGTAGCATTTTTACTGTAAGATAACATTGTAAGATCAAGATGTGGTCATGAATACATTCACATTTTATCCATCAATGTTTTTAATGGGTTTTTTGTGCTTAATTCTTGTACATTGTTAATAAAGTAAAAACAAAAATTACCTAATTTATTTCCTACTGTGTCTATTGCTTTGTTTTTAGTGGCAGCTCTGTAGGCAAATAAACACTCCAGAGAGTTGCTCACGGTGGAAGTCGGACTTCAAATATACAAATTGAAGCCTTCAGAGCCAGTTTAATATGCATAATGTGGTCTGATGAAAAATAGTATAGCTATGCTGTGGTGACCAGCACTGCTTAGCATTCGTTTGGATTTCAAGCTGCAATGGAAGAATGGTGCAAAATTTGGATACACAACATTCATCAACACAATGAATAAAATGTAAGCACCTTCTCTTTTTTCTGTGATCATGAAGAAACAAAAAGTCCAAATCTTATTACAGAAGTAAAATCAAAGACAATTTTCTCACAAGATGGGTTGTTATTCACAAAGCATTTTCAGGAGTCAGCTGAGAGGTGAGAACAGTTCTAATTTTTCTTCCCTGTTGCAATGGGCAGGGCACTTCTGTGCTCTTTTTCCCTGTTTGTAAAATAAGGATAGAGCAATAATGAGTTCTTCGGTTTTATGATTCTCTTAATGTTTGCATAGCACTTTAAAATATCAGGAGTAACATAGAAATAATAACTACTGGACATATTATAGCAAACCCAAATACCTCTATTTCCAGCGTTTTACCTTTTATTTGTTCAATATTTTATTGAAATATAACTTGTGATTTTTATGTAATGAGAAATAGATTACTAGGTGGCATACTAAGCAAAAATTTGGTGCAGAACACTCTAAAACAATAATTCCATCCCAGAAGAAACTAAGATATTTACAAGATCTTTTTACAATAAAAATGAACCATTAAAAATTTGGCAGGGATTCTCTGAGCATAATTGCAGTTGTGCTCGTTTCAAAACGCCTGTTAAATCTTATTCACCAGGACTGTAACACTAACATGCCTCTGCCTATGGGAAAATAATTTAAACTGTTTTAAATTGAAAATTTAGAGCTGTTATAATTAATTGTGAATCATTAGAAATGGATGAATTAAAAAATAAATAAAACCACAACAAAACAAACCAAGATTGTTTATAACATAACAGATCATTAGCAAACTGCTGTAGAATCCAAAGAATTGCCAGAGAAAAAGATATATCACAAGCATAATCATCTTTTATATAAAACCTTAAATTTTCTGTCATATCCTCCAGCACTGACTCTCTCCTGGGGTTTAGTGCAACCCATCCCCACCTGGGTTTTGTAACTCAGTAAATCTTTATGAGTGTCACCTGCACTTGGACCACAGAAAATTCAAAGAGTTCCAACACACTTGCTGCCCACTGATTTGGTTTGTCAGGAGGAGTGATGGGGATTCTATTTGGGAGGGAGAGTGATGAGGGTGTACATACTATAGGTATCCCTGTCTGTTCAAGCCTCCTTTTTATGATCAAGTAGTTTTTAAGATTAAATATGGGGTTTTCTCTGTGTCTTAGGGTTGATAAGCAGGCTTAGCAAGTGTCACAGCATTCTCATGGACTTATGTGCCTGGATAGGTACCCTCAGAGAGGATTTTACGTCTGTCCTAGGCTCACAAGGATAGCAATGTGACGATTAGAAAAGGGCATACCGAAAAATGTTAAAAGGTTTTCTGCTACGTAATGGCCATATTTTTCTGTCTCCAATGTATTACAACTGCATGCTCCTATCTTCTTGGTATTAATTTGATAACAAATAACTCACTTATACTGGTGTTTTGTATGATCTTCTCCTAAACCCCCTTCCCACATTATAATTTTGCACATACACACATCTAAGACAAAATATTTTTTGACGTTCCCATCAGCTAAAAAATTGTTAGAGCAGCCTCAGCTATCTTCCCTCATGTCACTGGAATTTACACAAGAAAAAAGAAAGAATATCAAAATATATGCATGGGATTCTATCAGACAAATGTTACCCTTGGAAAGCTTGAGTAATCAGCATTGATAACACAGAGGAATGTAAGATCAGATCTGGGCGAAAAGGACCTCAGTCATACTGTCTATGTACCTTGAAATCAGACACGTTCACAGAGTCTAATGAATCCGAACCTACATATTTAGTAGAAATCAAATGACATACAGGCTTCTTGGCTAGTTTTACAGTCATGTATTCATTCAGCACAATCTCATTATACTTGAAGACTGTGGAATGTGGAAAAATGTGGGAATCATTCTGCCAGAACAAACGACTGCCTTACATTCTGCATCTCATTGTTGGAAGTCATTTCCAACAGGAGTTTTACATAACAGTTCCTGTTATGTAAAAAGCAGCTCCAGCATTGGTTGGGAATAGCCTCTGTGCTGGAACAGCAGGGTTTATGGCTACTTTGTTCATAATACAATTTCTGCAATTTAAAAGAGAGCAATAGACCAAAGAGGAGAATACAGTGAAACTGTGGCCAACGGAAGTGAATAAACTCTGTCTAAATGGTAATTTAGAGACACCTTAGCATTGACTTTAAATGTGCTTTAAAAAGTGCTTTTCATAAGGAAGAGATGTGATTAAATTAAATTCCTCTCCAACAAAAGTTTACAGCTACCTATTATAAGCTTGTGAAAAGTGTCAGTGGAGATACCGAACACATCTCTTGCCAATTTGAACTTCTCTTAAAAATTAAAATTTCTATACATTTGCACAGTCTTATTCTGTTTCTGTCTAGTGGTACTTTCTATTCTATTCTAGAGCAACTTTAATTACTATATCTATAATTTCAGTCACATCCTAATTTACCATATTGATTGTCCATTCAGCAGTGAAGTTGGTTGATTATTTATTTTTATAGTAATAGTGTCCAAAACAGTTAATGTTCAGCTGACTGCACAATTTCCTCACTAGACTGGCTACGGTTTCAAGCTGCACTGTGTAAATCTGGAAGTCTGTACAGTGAGAGAGAAATGCTCAGATTCTATGCTCATTCTCCTGCTTGGAAAAATATGCTATTTTTGATTGCATGGGAACTCAGAGTCATGATCCTTGCATGGCCACTTAAAGTCTGGGAAGAGCGGTCTGTGCATGGATTTGTGAGTCTCCAGCAAACACAATCACTCTTAAGCAAATTGTAGAAAAGCTGTCAAATTTGGGGATTAAAACTGCTTGATACTGATGGCTTGGAAGGAAGACCATGCCTGTGAAAGACATGAGCTGCTGTGGGTTTATTCTGCCATTTCTACCTGCCCCAAGCTTGCCACTTGCCTCTCCCACTCTCTGGCCTTGCCTCTGCTCTGCAGCTCCCAGCCCAGGAATATCAAAGGAAGCAGATGACCACAAGCAAAAGGGATGTAGAGGTTGTTTCAGTACCCCACAGGCTGAGCAGGGTCCCCACAAGCAGGGCAGCATGGGCTGTAGTGACTTGCTCAGGAACAGACTGACTACCCATTCTGCCATGATCTTGGTTCTAGGAGGTATTATTTCCTCCCCTTACACCCAGACCCTTAACAAATCTGGCTCCCTCTTTCACCACAGAATGAACACATCTGTCAAGGCACCATGAAGGAAGAGACACGCTTTTCTGGGCTGGATGATCATCAATATCTCCAGCTTTCTGGATATCAACAGGAACCCAGGCATTTTGGTTATTATGAAAAGTGTGAGGGTATTTGTCTCAGGACTGTAGTGCCAACACTCATCAGACAATTACTTGATTTTCAGGTGGGTTTTTTATGTGTCCCAATGCTGCATTTCTCATCTGTGAAGGTTCTCTATAAATATCATAAAAGCTTGGGCATGAGAAAGCCAAAGAGCCTACTACCTGACTAACACGAGAGAAGTGACCTGGGCATTCCCTTCATCTTGTTGCAAGAAATGCCTGAAGGAAGAAACTATTACATTCTGTAGATGGAGATGTCTTTTTGTTGAACAGCTGCAGGCACAAGCTTTTAGTACACAGCTAATAATCACCATCCTCCTTCCAATTTGACCAGATGAAGTTTAAAGCTATTGTCATTCCAACTCCACTCCTTCCCTCCTTCTCTACTAAGAAAGGAAGGATATCCCACCGTTACTTATGAACCCACAGGGGCACCCGATGGGCCCACTGGGCTATTTGGACACACACTGTAGGGCCCTGACAGGTAAAATATTTCTATTTTAGATTACTATATATAGTCTTTGAAACTGTGCACAAATGTCAGGTGCCAGCATGTGCACATGCCTCATGATACAGCCACATATATAACATGGAGAAAAAGTCTTTTAGTGAAAATGTCAGCAAGTCTGACATGGAGGAACAGGAGAGACATTTACTACTTTTCTTTTAGTAAAGATAGAAAAAAGATTTTGGGAGAGTGAAAATTAGTGATGTGGGACATGAATGTATAAATGAAAGACAAATTTTAAAAGCATCTACAAAATGTTCTAGTCTGTGGGAAGTGAGGCCTAATTTGGATTTTAAAGGGATAAATACATATAAAATTTAAAGCTCGAGTGTCCTGTTTTTCAGAAAACTGTCTGTCTGCTTAGCAACATCTAAATAATCTATGACACGTCTCCACACGATGGGATGTCCTGACATATCAATTGAGAATTACATGGCAAAAAAAGGGTCAGTGGATCACAGCATTTAAAAGGAAATAATGAACTTGTTACCACAGATAAATCAGAAAGAAGTCCCTCATTCAGAAACAGGGTTGATAGCTAAAAAACATGTGTTCCTTACTTTACAGGTGGAACTTTTTAGAGCTCTTCATCAAGAATATGATGTGGGGTAAGTAATGGCCATTAAACAACAGACATTTTGCCCAAAAATACTACCCTAGAATGAAATGAAGAAAGGTAGAGTAAGGGCAGCTAAGGTGATTGCCCCTGAGCCACCCTGCTGCCACATCCCTGAAACTACAAGGGAGTCCTGAGATTTTATGTTTATTTGAAGGGAGAGACAGCTTCTTCCTGCCAGTTGGAATAAGGGTATGACTGGGAGCAATTCTGATGTGCTTGCTAGGAAAGCTGACTATGCTCCCCTTCAACAGGTGTGGATGCCCACCAAGACTTCCTTATCCCTGACAATACTTAAAACATCTGTGCAGGTCTGTTTGTTGGATAAAAAAAATTTCATCCTTGGACCTGTCCTTTGTGGAACTGTTCTTCCAGCATTTGTCAGAATAAGAGGGATTGCAGAAAAACCCTGCAGAAATTGTTTAGCCTCAGACACTTGCAAAAATAACAATGCAGATCAATAAACTTCATATCCTTTCCAATTATAAATTATTCTCAGAAACTACTGATAAATGTTTATGGTGTTTTTCCTTATTTAATAGATTCTCTGGATTTGTAGTCATAACATATTAAAATGTATTCGTTGTCATTAGAATAGTTTAAATGAAAGTAATGTTAGTTCTTGTAAGTTTTGTTCTAGAGACTGAGTGTTCCTTGCTCTGATGCACTGCTTAGTCAAACTTGCATGAAAAGCTTAGCTAGCTATTAAAGAACGTAAGCGCTTTCTGAGTGAGGTGTTGACTAACAATGCAAGAACCTCAACCTTATCAGGTCACCAGCATCCTCAGTTTAAGGGACTGTCACTATAAATTCCTTAATTGTGTCAGGTCCACAGAATGAGTCAGGAGATAAGAGTTTGCTATATTAACTCCTTGGACAAGGACCTACACTATGCCTACACCTACACCTTGCTTAAATTTGGCAGAATTTAAACAACTCTGCAAGGCTGGGGAGCAAGAAGTATTTCTCTTTCATAGCAGAACCTGACTTACGAGAGTCCTGAAAGTTTCTAGGCACCTCTAAAGTCATCCCAGACTCATCTCTGTTCATGGTACCTAAAGTACCTCCCACATGTTTTAGAAGCTCCTTGGTCTGGAGATCTATAAGATTTTCTTCTTCCTAAGCACCAGTGAAAGTCAAAGGTTATTCAGAGAGATGATTACATTTAATTCAGTAAAAATTATGTGAGCATGCCTAAAATGTTCTGATATGTTTATTTAAAAATTTACTGGAGCAGGCTTGATGTATCTTTTTCCAGCATCCAAATGGCTAGAGCACTTGTCTCAGTCAGAAGAAACCCAGCTTGTATTTTCCCTCTTTGAGGCATTTGAATCCAAAGCATATACACTGATCACAGTTACTGCAAGAAAAGGCACTTTCTGCAATATCCCTTGAAGCTGAGCCACTGCACAGCTAGTAAAGCTGGAGAAACAGAGTGCAGTATTATCTAGTGGTGAAGTATTCAGCCAAGATAAAGTCCAAAGTTCTCCTCCTCCTGGATTTTTCTGTATATATTGCACTAGATAACCACCAGATTAAGTGACAGTAGCAAGATACCAAACATTTTGCATCATTATCTGAATCTGCTTTTCAGAAATCCCATTGTCTTAATCAGTAGTTTCTTCTTCAAAGTGAGACATTTGAAATTAAATGGCATCTTTTAAGAGGTGTCAATATCTATTTCCATCATGTTAAATTGTTGCTACTCCTCCTCTTCCAGTGCATTTGAGTGTTCAGTCTCTGTCCTAGCATCTCAAAGGGAGTCCATAGGGGTACACATGATGCTTAGTAGCCCTGGTCAGGATATACAGGAAAAATCTACAGCCTGAGCTATTGCAGTCACAAACAGGGAGCAGCCAAAGTTTGCAATCTGCTGCAAAAATGAGGGAACCTAATGAATTTTTCAGGTACAGCTAAATCTTATGGTAAACATAATGATGGTTAATTTAGAAGTAAAAACCCCTGAGTTTCTATTTTAAGGGAAGGTAGAACAAATGCTCACTTTAATATTTAGACATCCATTAAAAAAAAAGTAAAATTTGAAACAAATCAAGACCATTGGCCTCTATGACATATACACACAGATTAAGAATCACATCGGGAAGCAGGCAATAAGAATATAAAAATATTTCCAGTTCAGGTGTATATATTTATGAACATCTGTCAAGGAAATTAAGTCGTGATTTAAGTGAAATCTCCATCCCAGTTCCCCTCACTAAATAAAATTCTGAGAAGCTAATTCTGTCTATGCAATTTATTGTGAAGACATAATACCTAATTAAGCACCTGCAGTAACAAGACACACTGATTTACACAAGTGGTCAGATGTGATTTTCAAACAGACACACCAGAGGGGGTAAAAGACTGAAAAGATGGTGAGCCATGAGCATCCCAGCCCAATTAGCAGGATGGGAACTGAAATCCTGTAGAATGTAATTATTAATCATGTTGTCATCTTAAGACTGAACACAAATAATTGAGCAAAGCACACTCACAGTGTTTACCCAGTCTCAGCAGTACACTGCCAAGAGCTTCTTGTCATTTTATATTCAAACATCAGGATTACTCAGACATTGGATACCACAAATGAGAATACAGGACCTATGGAAATCATAAGAGAATTGGGCCAATGTCCAATATTAAGAAACTTGACTATGACGTGTATTGATGAAACTGGGTAAAGGAAAGTTGTCTAACTGCATATACAATGAGAAAAGATCTACGAGAAAAGAAAAAATTAAAGATATATTGCAGTAAAACTAGCAAAAAGGTTGTGAGAAGTCAGACAGTCTTTTACAAGTAATACACAGAGACATTTTAAGTATCATAGAGACTTAGAGGTAAATAAGACAAAATTGATGGTAACCTGGATGCTGATATTTAAAGACAGCAGTTTGATAAATTATGAAGCAGTAAAGGCTTGTTTAAACCAAATATTGATAAAATGAAATCTAGATGTCATCAGTGGTATAAATATTAAGAGAAAACAATATGAATGTGTAGTATGATCAAATTAGAAACAATAAACAGAATAATCAGATATTTAACAGCTAGTGCTCTAAGGCTGTTACAAAATTATTAGGTTATATGCAGATAGGAGATGAATTGGGTAGATTTTAATTACCCATTTGATATAGCATCCCATGAATACTTGAAAATATATTAAAAAACAATTGGATAAAATAATTGTTAAATAGTCTGAAGGATGAATAATGTTGTGATAAATGCCAACTGATTAGCAGAGGAAGCCCATGGTTTGCTTAAGACCACTATCAACAACTTGACCCTGTCTTTTGAGAACAAACTGTGAGGAAAAGACTGTATTTCAGCTTTACTCCAAAATCAGATGACATTGACTAAAGGTGATTCCGTGCCACAGGTATGTAGTCTGAAATGTAAGTTGTGATATGAATGGCTTAGGGCTCAGTGCAGATTGATGAAAACAAGCCTGTGTTCATTCAGCAGAGTAAAGATGCTCATTCACTATATCCATAGATGGCACATCATTCACTGACATAGTAAAGACTGATTATGGTCCAGATTATGCATAACAGAGAAGTGATGGCCAAGAAGATCAGCAGAGGCAGAGAATAATGAGAATAGCAGCCCAGATGACTGGAAAACTTATTACACTGAAAGCAAGTCAAAGATGCATGAAATGGATTAAGAACTGACTCAGAGATCCATAAAAATGCTGCTGTGCACAGGATTTAGGTGTGCTGCACAATGTGAATACTGCTGCTTAAAGTCATGCACAGTCTACAATAAAGTTCCTAGGGGAACAAGCCTGAAAGTGATTTTAGAAATTTGCTGTCTGGTTGGGGTTCCTTCACTGTGGCTTTAGAGAGAAATATCCCCACAGAGCTCCATACTTTGGTCTTTCCTATTTTCCCTCTTCGTATTTTTACAATCTTACACAAATTTAGCTGCTCTCTCCATTGACATAGTTTATAGATTTCATGTTTTAATGTATATCAGTTGAAAACTCCACATATGCCTCTGGCGCATCTTCTCGATATCGTGATGTGTTGTCATAACTAGCAATGCTGCAAGAGACCTTTGATTTTCCTTTCCCCATTTTTTTCCCCTGTGGAATCCCTACAGGCATCACCATTTACCCTGCTTGTTCCTTGCATCTACCAGTGAGAAAATGGATTGGCCCTGACTTAATTTTCCTGTTTATCCTGTATCCAAAGTTCTTTCTCCAGAGCTCTCAGGCTCTTACATAGCACACCTGCATGGCTGTAAGTCTTTCCCAGACTTTTGGTGTCTGTGATTAATTATCTTTTTCTCTAGCTGTACTGGCAGAGGCAAACCCAGCCTGCTCACAGCTGCTCCCCTGACCACCATCCTAACCTGATGCTTTGAAGTTCACGTTCTTCTGCAGAAAAGCACTGCTATTCTTCTCCATTTCTGTTTACTGATCGTGTCACACATCAGCAATCAACTTCCAAGCATGGCAGAGTATGGTCTTGTTAGGTCTCCCTCTCATGGTATCCATAAATACATCAGACCAACTCAATTTTCCTCCTTCACATTCTCTCCTTTAAGTTCTTCAAGTTGATTATTTCAAAGAAAGCAAAATGCTTGACAACAGCAAAGATTTTTACCTGTTACTCTGTCAAATACTCTCATTATTCCCATATGCTTCACTGTGTGCACCTTCCATGTAAAAATTACCCACTGTGTAATTTTCGAGATGCAGACTCTTTTGCGTGTGTGTGTTTGGTTAGCACTTCTCAAAAGGAGTTCTCCACACTGGCCTTGTTTCTAAATTCCACAGGTTAAAAACCCACCTAGTGTGAACACAACCAGAAGAACAGCAGACACCTGAGCAAGTAGAAAAGCCCAGTGACTCTGTTCTGCAAAGGATCCCATATTTCTGAAGCAACCACACACAACACAATACAAAATAGCAGGAAATTTTTCAATCTGTCAGTGTAAGCTTTTTTTTTACCCTCTTCACCATGTTATTTAAGTGTGTGCCTACTTGCACATTGTCAACAGCCCCTGCAGATACACACTGTATGGCAACAGTCAGTGAGACACACAGGAAAATAACAGTCCTAAAACATGTTTCTTTTTACTGTATAAGAAATAATTTTGATGGCTGCTGTCACAGTTGTACACACATCACCAGATTTGATTTTTTCCTTTCACTAATTGACAACCAGGGTGCTCCCTAATTAAATGTCCCCTCCCATAGATTTATGTTGAAGGTATACATTAACCATATTCTCAGGAGTGCCTGCACTGCAGTAGGTCTGCATTTGTTCTGAAGTTTTGTATGGTTTTGCTCATCAGAAAGCAAATAGAGGTGCTTTAAACCCAGGATAGAACTCTTTATCATTTGTGTATCTAAAATTTACAGTACAGTTTTGAAAGTGATAATTGTAAATCTAAAGGGGTAATTCTCACTGATGTTACTGAGAAT